GGCCATCTGCGGCGGGGACCCAGCGCTCCTGCCCAGGGACGTGCGAGAGGCCGGCATCGGAGGCCAGGGCCCCGCCGCCGCAGCCCGCAGCCCTTTCCTCTCCGCTGGGGCCCCGGGGCTGCCGGGTTTGGAAGCGGTGGCCGTGAGCACGTGTGGCCGTGTGTCAGTGGCTCGTGAGAGTGTGTGTGTGCGTACGCGGGCGTGGGACTTGAGAGGGTGAAATGTGAGTGTGTATCTGGTGTGACTGTGGGTGTGAAGGGTGCACATTTAACGTGCAAGGGTGTGAGAGTGTGTGGAAGGAAGTACGTGAGTGGGGGATGTGCATGAACGTGTGCGTTCTTGTGTTTACACATGTTTTAGCAACAGTGAGAGGAACCCAATGACACCATGACACTGGGACGTCAGTGCCTCGCTGGCAGGCTCCCAGCTATGCTGGGTTCTCCCACTAACCCAGTGAGCTGTGCTGTGGCCCTCACACACTTGTGGGATGGTGCCGTTAGCCCCGTTAGCCCAGTACGACCTAAGTTTGGCCACCTTCCCTCCCACAGCCCATCTGAGGGAGCCTGTTCCTCTGGGCCTCCAAAGTCCATCCTCATGCTGTCACTTCTGGGCTGGCCCTTGGGCCTCCCTCCCCCCCAGGCTACCTCCTCTCTCCGATTTCTCAGAAAGTTATCTCCAGATAGTGTACAAAAAAACATAACAAGCTGGCTATAGGGGTTCACATCTGTAATCTTAGCACTTTGGGGAGCCGAGGTAAGAGAATCCCTTGAGTCCCAGAGCTCGAGACCATCCTGGGCAACATAGTGAGACCTCTTTACCAAAAAAATCAGCCAGGTGTGGTGGCACATGCCTGTAGTTCCAGCTACTTAGAAGGCTGAGGCAGAAGGATCACCTGAGCCAAGCAGATTAAGGCTGCAGTAGCCGTTAGCCTGCCACTGCACTCCAGCCTGGGCGACAGAGTGAGACTCCAATTCAAAAACAATAATAACAATAATACATTAGTTGGGTATGGTAGCATACGCCTGAGGCTGCCACTGGAGGATTGCCTGAGTCTAGAAGGTTGTGGTGAGCTGGATGTGCCACTCACTGCACTCCAGCCTGGGACAGAGTGAGACCCCAGCTCAAAACAAACAAACAAACAAACAAACAAACAAAAAGAACCCCAACTGGCTAGTCTCCCGCATTTGGAGGGGTGTAAGTGGGGGCGGGCTTGTTCCCTATCCGAGAGTCAGGTGTGGACACATAGAGGTTGTAGCTACAGAGCCCCCCACCACACACACACTCTGGCCCAGGCTCACTGGGCGGGGAAAGCTGGCACAGGAAGCCTGGCACTGGAGGATTCAGCCCAGTACCCCTCCACCTCCACCCTAGGCGCCTGCCTCCTCCCGCTGGTGCTAGAGGCTCCTCCTTGGGGAACCAGTCAAAAGACTTCTTGGCCTCGGTGCTTTCTCATGAAAGTGCGGCCCAGCTCAGCACTCGGGTACATTAAGACCCCAGGCAGCCTTGCCAGGGCGAACCTGTGGGCATCACCCCAGCCTCCATGTAACATCTTGCCCATTTTCCCCAGGAAGTGTCCTCCTCCATTGTTGATAGGTCCTGTGGCTCTGAGGCCTCCCTGGCCACCACCCCAGCCCTTACCTGCTCATCCCTGCAGTTCTTCTTACCTTCCAGCTGACTTTGGTTGGATCTGTTGCATATCCCCAGCACCTGGCTGCCAGAACAAGCAGGCCCCTTTGAGTGGCAGAGCGAGCCCTGTCTGGGAGTTGGGAAACCTTCACCCATCTCTCAGCCTCATCTCTCCAGGGTGGATGGGGATTGCTGGGATCCCCACTTGATCCAGAATGCCCCCAGCACACTGTGCTAGACCTCCTGGCAGAGACTCCTGAGGTCTGCCAGAGGCCTGCTGAGGGCTGGTGCACCAGGCATCTTATCTGGAATATGCAGGCCCCAGAGGAGGCCTTCTCCCACACGTTGGGGGGCCCAACCCAGGGCTTGGCCCTTGAGTCTGCCAGCAACCTGAGGAGGACGTCAGGGGCTTGGGACTGTGGCTCCTGTCTCCCAACCTGGCCATGAGTGTTCAGCAGCCCTGACAGGCTCACCCCACAGGTAGAGTCTGCAGGACTTTCCCACTGCCCTGCATCTCTGTGGACCCTCCTCCTAGGCTACCTTCCCCCACAGCTCCCAGCTGAGCCAGGAGTCTGCCCCCCTTCCACTGGAGGACTTCCTCTGTTCCCTCCCACTTCCTCCCACTTATAACGGGACCAGAAGGGAGGGGGACACTCAGATCCTGGATGGGACCACCGGCTGGTGGATAGGCAGTGGGCAGGTAAGCAAGTTGGTCAGCTGGTTTGTCCAAGCCCCAGGGCAGGGAGCTGGCACTTGGGAGGACCAGTCCTGTCTGGTCATGGGTCCTGGCAGGTCTCTCTGCCCATTGCAGGCCTGGCCTGGCACAGTGGATGCCAGGGTCCCAGTGGGGAATTTCAGGGGGTGAGCAGCTGGGCAGGGCATCCTGTGGAAGGGGAGCAGAGCTGTGTAGACCCTTGCTGTGGTGGTGAGCTGGGGGCTCCCTGGAGAGACACCATGTCCCTCTTTTCCATATTATCAGAGGCAAGACAGGTGGGTAGTAGGCTCCCTGGTGGGGCATCAGGTCAGGGCCTGGGAGGGAGCTGCTACTAGGCCCCCCAGGTGGCTGGGGCAAGTTGTGTGTGGAGTACAGCTGAGGAGGTGCTGGGGTGAGACATGGCCTCACTCATCTGCCTCCTGTTTACTGGACCCACTGCTGGTGGGGCGGGGGTGGTGTCAGAACTAGGACAGGGGCAGAGCCTGTTCTAGCTGTGTTGGTGGAAACATGGAGCACCCACCCTTCGTGAGTCTGGCAGGGTCTCTGACTGGAGGTGAACCCTTTGCTCCTCCACTGCTCCTGGCCAGGGCGCACCCTCTCCTCTGCCCTTGTCTGTCTTCTCCATTGACTTGAGCTCCTCAGGGGTGGGACTTGGCCTGTGTCCCCGCATCAGACATGGGCAGGGGTTTGTGGATTGAACAACTGACAGACAGTTATGGTCTGCCTACAGCTACCTCCTAGATAAGAATTTTTTTTTTCCAGCCGGGCTCGGTGGCTCAGTCTGTAATCCTGTGCCTTTGGGAGGCTGAGGTGAGTGGATTGCCTGAGCCCGCGGGTTCGAGACCCGCCTGGGCAACTTGGCAAGACCTCATTTCTACAATAAATCAAAAAATTAACTGGGTGTGATACCACATTCCTGTAGTTCCAGCTACTTGGAAGCTGAGGCGGAAGGCTCGCCTGAGCCCAGCTACTTGACCGTGATTGTGCCCCTGCACTCCAGCCTGGGTGACAGAGTGAGACTCCGAAAAAAAAAAAAAAAAAAAGTCCACACTTCTCTTTCAGTGGTCAGAAGGTATCCCTGGGCTCAGGTCTATCACCTGAGCCTTGGTTTCCTTGTGTGAAATGGGTGAGTGATGGCTCCTCTCTCCCTCACTGCTTGAAGATTAACGGAGATAATAGAAGCAAAGAGGCTTTGCTTTCCCTGTGAAGCCTCCTGTTGGGAGCAGACCCTGGAAGGAAGACCACTGACAATGATCCACTGTCCACAGTGAGCCTGTCCCTCTGAGCCGTGTTTGAATCTTGCCTCACCTCTGGGAGGTGGGTATGTCCACCCTGGGCCCCAGGCCCACCTCCAAGTCCTGTGCTCTGGGAGGGCAGTGGGTTTTTCAGACAAACAGGATGGGCTGTGCCCCACCCTCACCCGGGAGGAGTCTGGACTCTTGCCCTGGTTCTGAAAACTTCCAGGCAAAAACAGCAACTAGGAGGCTGAGAGCTTGTCCCTTCACCAATTCACCTCACAAGTATTCATTGAGTGCTTGTTGCACTGCGTGCTGGGGATACAGCAGGGATGGGATACCCACAGATGCTGGGGTTTCTGCTCCGAGGTTACCTGTGAATAATGTCGGGAGCAGCGCCTGGGTAGGCAGAAGCTTTTGGAAAGGGCCGAGGCCAGCCTATGGGAACTCACCTTTGGAGCTGCTGGTGGCATATAAGTATCTTTTTCTTGGCCTAGCACTTCCTGCAGGCTGGCATTTGTGGGCTTAGGGCAAGTCAGGGATGTGGAATGAGCAACAGAAACTCAGAAGTCCAAATCCAGCCTCCACTCTGGGCTTTTCTGGGTCTCTTCTGTCCCCTTGTTTGTCAAATGGGGAACAAGGTTATTCTACCTCCCACCGCTGTGGGAGTCAGGAAATACAGGGGAAGGGGTTTTGCAGACTGTGCAGCCGCTGCAGGTTCAGGGGTCTCCAACTTGGCTGTGCACTTAAACAGCTGTGCCAGGGGGAAAACAACTCCAGGGAGCACCAAACATGACTCTGTTTGACTCTTAAGGTCATGTAAGTTCATCTCCAGGGCTCCCAACAATAGTGATTTCCTGCAAATGTGACTTCACCCAACTTTTTCCCTAAACAATATTCCATGAATGTGGTTTCTTTGATTGACATGGGAAAGGTTGTAGCAAAGGAATTACAGAATAGTCCTCACCCCCAGGGAGATTATAGAGGGGACCAGGGACTGTGAAGAGTCCTTGAAGGACCTGGTTAACTAGGGACAGGCCCGTGAGGGAAGATCTAACATTGGAGCTGGGCTCTGAAGGGTAAATAGGAGTTTGCTGGTTGGACAAGTGCTGAGAAAGGGCATTTGGGGCCGAAAGGAGAGTGTATGCAAACATCTGAAGCAAGATGGGCTTGGCATTGAGGGAGCAGAGAGCCAGGAGGTGAGTCCAGAGTTGGGGCCATGGAGTGGGTGCCTTCACTTGAGGCAGTAGGGAGCCATGGTGAGTATTTGAGGAGGGGATGGAGCCACCTGTTGGTTTGGGCTACCAGGGCTGGAGGCAGATGATCAGGCCTTCATGCAGGATGCAGGATATTAGTTGGGCTTAGGCTCTGACAGGCATGGAGAGGGCGCCTGTCCTGGGTGGTGATGCAGGACAAACAGGGCTTTGGGCTGGACAGGCCTGGAGTTGTGTCACCTTGGTGAGTAACTTAATCTCTAAGGACAGTGAAAGCAGTAGCCTGTGTTGTCATGAGTGACTGACTTTAGTGTAGATTACAGCAGGTTGCCTTCTCTGGGCTTCAGTAACGTAGTGAATATCACCACACCTATGGCCTAGAGTTGAGGTGGGGACTATTCTGGGAACCCACAGCCCATATGGAGCAGTGCCAGCTCAGGGGCATTGGCCATTGTGTGCCTTTTTCCACCCTCCCCAGCCCAAGGTGGGACCTGGGAGGCAAAGAGACTTTCCTGGGATCCTGAGCTGGGACTCAGACCTAGTTTCTCTGACCCCAGCATCCACAGCTGCCTCCCAGGGCTTTAAATGGAGTCCGAGGATGAGTGAAATGCCTGCATGGTGCCTGGGAAATGGCAGTTGTTGGCTAAGTGGGTGGTGGCTGGGTGGCCCTGGGCATGGACGGGCGTGGGCCAGGCACCTGCAGCCCTTCCTTTTATACCCATCATCGCATACTGGTGTTGTGGAGAGAGCCCTTGGCTGCAGCCAGCATGGAGGCCTAGGCTGGGGGAGGCATTTTGTTTGGAGCCCAACAAAGGACTTGTAACTGTAGCTGGGCAGCTTGAAGTGGCTGGGCCGGTTGTGGCCAGGACCAGGCCTGGGGTGAGATCTTAGCACCCCTGCCTTTCTAGTTCCAGTTGGTGATGGCTCCAGGAAGGGCAGGAAAAGCTCTCGTGTGAGCCTGCACCTCCCAGGTCATAGACCCCTCTGTGACCTGGGCCCCTGTCACAGCTCCCTAGTAGGTGGGCCGGGCAGTGGCACTCACTCCCCTATAGACTGAACATGAGGCTCGATGGAGCACCCTCCCCAAGGTGTTGGAGAAAGCCCTAGCAGAACTTCCAGAAAGGGAAGGGGCAGTATTATCCTTTATAACTGTTTTTCTTGGCCCAGGATCTAAACTAAAACCATATGTCACATTCGGTGGTTCTGTCTCTTTAGCCTCTCTGTTAGTTTCCTAGGACTTCCATAACACATTGTCACACACCGGGCAGCAGAAAACAACAGAGATGTACTCACCGTTCTGGAGGTGAGAAACCTGAGAGTGAGGTGTTGGCAGAGCTGTACTCCCTCCGAGATTGGGAGGGCCCTTCCTCCCTCCTCCTGTGTCTGGTGGCTGTCGGCACCTCTTGACGTCCTTGACTTGTGGCTGTATCACTCCAGTCTCTGCCTGTCTTCATGTGACCATCTCCTGTGTCTTCTCCTCTTTCTCTTTTTTTTTTTTTTTTGAGTCAGAGTCTCACTCTGTCACCCAAGCTGGTCTCAAACACCTGGACTCAAGCAGTCCTCTCACCTTGGCCTCCCAAAGTGCTGGGATTACAGGCTTGAGTTACTGTGTCCGGCACTATTTTTTTTTGTTTTGTTTGTTTTTTTTTTTTGTTTTAGTTGGAGTCTCACTCTGTTGCCCAGGCTGGAGGGCAGTGGCACGCTCATGGCCATCGCAGCCTCAACCTGCTGGGCAACGGTGATCCTTGTGCTTCAGCCTTCCAAGTAACTGGAACTACAGTTACACACCACCATGCCCGGCTAATTTTTTTATTTATTGTAGAGATGAGGTCTCACCAAGTTGCCCAGGCTTGTCTCGAACCCGTGGACTCAGGCAATCCTTCCAAAGTGCTAGGATTATAGGCGTGAGCCACCACGTCCGGCCTCTTTTCTTTCTTATAAGGACACTTGTCATGAGATTTAGTGTCCACCCAGATAATTCAAAATGATCTCATTTCAGGATCCTTCATTTAATTATATCTGCAAAGACCCTTTTCCAAATAAGGTCACAGTCCAGGTTCTGAATGGACGTATCTCTTGGGGCTGTCACTCAGCACTTTGGAGCCTCCGTTATCTGGCCCAGTTCCTTGGCCTTGCTTTGTTTTTCACAGCGTTGGCAGTTTTTTTTTTTTTTTTGAGTTGGAGTCTCACTCTGTCGCTCAGACTGGAGTGCAGTGGCTGCTCCCAGCCACCGCAGCCTCGGCCTGCTGGGCTCCAGCGATCCTTCCGCCTCAGCCTTCCAAGTAGCTGGAACTACAGGCGCGCGCTACCACGCCCGGCTAATTTTTTGATTTATTATAGAGATGAGGTCTTGCCAAGTTGCCCAGGCGGGTCTCGAACCCACAGGCTCAGGCAGTCCACTCACCTCAGCCTCCCAAAGTGCTGGGATTACAGACTGGGCCACCGAGCCCAGCTTCATTGGCAGTTTTGAAGAGTCATGGCCAACTTTTCTGGAGGATGTCCCTCTGTTCCCTCATGGTTAGAGTCAGATTATGTGTTTATTTTATTATTATTGTTGTTGTTGTTATTATTTTTGAGTCAGAGTGTCACTCTGTCACCCAGGCTGGAGTGCAGAACATGAATGATCATGATGATCACAGCTCACCACAGCCTTGACTTCCTGGGCTCAGATGATCCTTCAATGTCAGCTTCCCAAATAGCTGAGACTACAGTCATGAGCCTGGCTAATTTTTTTTCTTTTTTTTTTTTTGGTGAGTTGGAGTCTCACTTTGTTGCCCAGACTGGAGTGCAGTGGCCGGCAGCCTCGACCCGCTGGGCTCCGGCGATCCTTCCACCTCAGCCTTCCAAGTAGCTGAACTACAGGTGCGCGCTACCACACCCGGCTAATTTTTGATTTATTGTAGAGATGAGGTCTCGCCAATTTGCCCAGGCGGGTCTCGGACCCACGGGCTCAGGCAATCCACTCACTTCAGCCTCCCAAAAGCACGGGATTACAGGCTGAGCCACCGAGCCTGGCTTTTTTTTTTTGGTAGAGATGAGGTTTTGCTATGTTGCCCAGACTGGTCTCAAACTCCTGGACTCAAGCAATTTGCCTGCTTCAACCTTCCAAAGTCAGAGTACTAGGATTACAGGTGTGATCCACTATGCCTGGCCTATTTTATTATGTTTTTTGAAAAGACAAGTTCTCCCTATGTTGACCAAACTGTTGACCAAACTGGTCTCAACCTCCCGGCCTCAAGCAATCCTTCTGCCTCAGTCTCCCAAAGTGCTGGGATTACAGGCATGAGCCACTGCACCTGAGTAGGTTATTTGTTTTTGAAGAAAGACCACAGAGGTTCAATCCTTGATGGCATTAGGAGGCACAGGAGGTCTTGTTTCTCCATTGTGCCGATCCCTGCTTAGGTGTCTTGAGGCCGTTCTTGTTTTCTTCGAGTCTTACCTGTGGTCCAGGTAAGTGGGGCTGTCCGGGACCCAACTTCTGGATGGCCACGGGTAGCTGCGCAGTAGTTGCTCCATGGGTTGGTTGAGGGCCTGCTGGTGACCTGGCCTGGGATTAAGCTCTTTCCATGCTTTATTTCTAGCCCTCACAACCCCAGGGAATATGGTTTATGATCCCCATTTCACAGATGGAGAAGCTGAGCTCAGAGAGGCTAAGTGATTTTTGCCCAGGGACAAAAACAGAAAGCGTGGGAGGTGGGTTGTCTTCCTTGGGGAGGGTATCCTCTCCAGGAAACCTGGCACTGAGCTGTCTGGCTATGGGGTTTGGGCTTTCCCACTACCTTTCGGGGTCTTTGTGTGGCTGAGATGTGGGGGCACGGAGCTGGCAGGGAAAAGCCTCTTGGACTGCATTGGAGGGGCGGCATGGGCCTGCAAGCACAGTTTGGGAGGTCAGTGGACCTGGTTTAAACTGCAGCACTGGCTGGGTGCTGAGGCTCATGCCTGTAATCTCAGCACTTTGGGAGGTGGAGGCAAGGATTGCCTGAGTCCAGGGGTTCGAGACTAGCCTGGGCAGCTTGGCAAGACTTCATCTCTACAGTAAATCAAAAAATTAGCCAGGTGTGGTGGTGTATGCCCATGGTTCCAGCTACTTGGAAGACTGAGGTGGAAGGATCACCTGAGTCCAGCAGGTTGAGGCTGCAGTGGCTGTGAGCATGCCACTGAACTCTGGCCTGGGTGACAGAGTGAGACTCCAACTCAAAAAATAAAAATAAGTAAATAAAATAAAATAAAACAAAAAAGTGGCTAAACATCACTTCTGCCATATTCTATTGGACAAGCAGTCACAGAGCTCAGATTAAAAGGGAAGGGACTGGCCTGGAAAAACAATGGAGAAACACAGCCAGTGAGTATCAGAGCTTCCCAGCGCCCAGCTCGGTGCCTCAGCTTTGCCTCCCACCTGAAGGCAGAACCCCAGGGCTCAGGGAGACTCATGGACATCACTTATGGGAGGTGACTTGGTTTACTTGAGGAAACTTGTTCCAGGGGGCTCTGTGGGAGAGCAAGGAGGAGAGAGCGGCAACCCCAGCAGCCTCAAGGGACTGGGTTTAAAGATGTCACAGAGCTATTTGGTCAGCATAGCCTTCTCAGACAGGTACATTCCGAGTTGGGGTTATTACTTATTTGTCTAGATAGAGCTAGAACTTCACATCACTTAATAGGACCAGGGAAGTTGAAGGAGAGAGAGCACAGGTACACAGTGCTCAAGATTAATTTTATACACTGAGCTTCCTGACAGCCAAAGTGAACAGGGGTACATGCTCAGATGAGTAGCATTTTTTTGTTCCTCATAAGTAGTGCTTCTTCTCATGGTACGAGCATAGAAGACTTAGTAATGCAGGGACAGGTGTCAGGAGTCTGGTTTTCGTAGCTTCTACTGGATGGAGGTAGGTTCTCTGGGTGAGAGGCAGGGAGGGGGCATTCTGGCAGAGGGCAGCATGAACAGCAGCCTGGGTGTGGGAACGAGCTGTCTGTGCTGACCTGAGTCTGCCCTGTCGTTTCAGTTGGGCCATGTGGTGCTCTCCCCAGTCTGGTTCCTCTACAGCCTGCTTATGAAGCTGTTCCAGCGCTCCTCGCCGGCCATCACCCTCGAGAGTCCCGACATCAAGTACCCGCTGCGGCTCGTCGACAAGGAGGTGAGAGCCGGCCCTGTCTCTTCCTCACTGGCGTCACAGCATGTCTTGGGCACCTTCTCATGCTCAGGACATGCTTGCCTTCTGACATACACTCTGTTATCTGCCCATTCTGCAGATGGAGAAAGTGAGGGAATGTCCCTTGTTGAGACCACTAGGAAGTGGCAGAGAGATTTACATGTAGGTCTCCCTGACCACACCGCTTGTTCTCTGAATCACATTCGTGTCACATGGAAGGTCAGATGTAGGAGCGACTCTTCAGGACTTTTGGTTCCAGGTCCCCATTTGGAAGCAGAGACTGAGGGGGCTGAGTACCCAGTTCTTTGAAGATAAGGACCTCCCCCGACCCAGGGTCATGACAGCCTGGTGCCTGTTGGGCCTGGACATCTCCCAACTCTGTGTACTTCCCTGGGTGATCTCTGCTGTTGGGTCCCAGCTGCCCCACTGGGAGGCTGTCGCCTCTGCCCATTGGACTCTTTTCGTTTTCACACCTCTGGTTATGGTTTAAAAGCCCCTCCCTCCTTTACCTTGATGCCTATTTTTGCGGCTGCCCTTGGTTACTCACCATCTTCATAGCCCCTCCCCTGCTCTATTTCTGGCCACCTCCAGCTGCCACAGGAGGGGCGTGGCAGGGAAAACTGAGTCACAGAGCAGAGAAAACCACCTGAGACCTGGGCCCTCCTCCCCACCCCAGGCTTGTGCACAGTGTATCTGACCCAAGCTCCACGTGGATCTTGAGTACTTGGTGTGGAGCTCACAGCTTCCTGTGACTGATGGGGTGGGTGTGTGTAATTGTCCCAGAATCCCACAGAGAAAAAATACAAAATAGAAAGTTAATCACCACCTATCAGATGGGACTGCATTTAACCTCACAATATGCTTTATGCAGATGTGGGCACATGCATACATTTTTTTTCTTATAAGAATGACATTGTAATGTTTTGAAATCTGTTTTCTTGGGTTTTTTTTTTGTTTTTTTTGAGTTGGAATCTCACTCTGTCACCCAGACTGGAGTGCAGTGGCTGCTCCCAGCCACCACAGCCTTGACCTACTGGGCTCTGGCGATCCTTCTGCCTCAGCCTTCCAAGTAGCTGGAACTACAGGCTCGTGCTACTATACCCAGCTAATTTTTTGATTTATTGTAGAGATGAGGTCTTGCCAAGTTGCCCAGGGGGGTCTTGAACCCACTGGCTCAGGCAATCCACTCATCTCGGCCTCCCAAAGCGCAGGATTACAGGCTGAGTCACTGAGCCCGGCGAAACTTGCTTTTTTTTTTTTTCTTTTTTTTTTATTATGAAGTTGTGGGGTACAGTTAAGGGTTAGGTATGCAATTGCGTTTCATTCAGGCACCCTGTTGATATGGAGTGAAACCTGCTTTTTAACATTCTTTTTTTTTGTTGCTTTTTTTTTAAGCAAAACAGTAATACTGAGTCTTAATTCTGTCACTCAGGCTGGAGTGCAGCGGTACAATCCTAGCTCACCACAGCCTTAAATTCATGGGCTCAAGCAATCCTACTTCAGCCTCTCCAGTAGTTGGGACTACAGACATGTGCCACCACACCTGGTTCTGTTATTGTTGGCTTTTTGTCTTTTGTTTTTGTTTTTTTTGAGTTGGAGTCTCACTCTGTCACCCAAACTGGAGTGCAGTGGCCGCTCCCAGCCACCGCAGTCTCGGCCTGCTGGGCTCCGGCGATCCTTCTGCCTCAGCCTTCCAAGTAGCTGGAACTACAGGCGTGCGCTACCACACCCGGCTAATTTTTTGATTTATTGTAGAGATGAGGTCTTGCCAAGTTGCCCAGACAGGTCTCGAACCCGCGGGCTCAGGCAATCCACTCACCTCAGCCTCCCAAAGGCGTGGGATTACAGGCTGAGCCACCAAGCCCAGCTTATTGTTGGTTTTTAATTCCAGATGTCATGTATGATTTATATGTGCTCACTCTAAACATTTTATTTGTCAAGTGTAAACATTCTCTTCATCCCCCACCCCATTGCTGCATCCCAGGGCTCTGTGTAGAGTGCCCTGGTCACAGGTCAGTGTACACCTGCCAGACCCTTTCCTGGGCATCACATTCACTTGCAATAATGCTTGGAGGTATAGGTGTGTGCATACCTAGTTTATTTTTTTTGGTAACTGGATTTTTTTCAATGCAGTCATATAGTGTAAATACTTATTCATGTTTAACCCAAAGTTACTTTATTTTTCTATTGACTGTCTAGCATTTCATTATAGGAATGTTATGTGAGGGTGCTCCAATCCCCTGTGAGTGAGTGTGTAGACATCCTATAGTCATGTCCTCCCTATCTCCATTGTAGCCTGGTGATGTGCTTTGTGGGGCTGGCAGGGGACCTGCTTTCAGGCGCCCTGCTAGGGGGCTATCCAGCACAATCAGTATTAGTATCTTTCCCTCATTTCTGTTCTTCCACCAAAACTTATTTGGCATGTGGGTGTTTGACCTTGACCTTTAGAACCAGTTAGTGGTCCTGGAATCCATTCCCAAGAGGCCTTGGAGCTTTGTTTGCCCCAAGTGCAAAGGCTTCTGCGGGAGGCAGCTTTGAGTTGCAGGCTGCTGTGGCAGAGGTTGGCTGGCTGCTCACATGCCAAGTCCTGAGCAGTGTCTGTACTGTCGTTCCTGAGATGTGCCCCTGCCTATATGCTGCAGTGACAGGGTCTTCTCCAGGTGCTGCTCTGAGCTCAGATAGTCCTGAGGGTCAGGGAGTTCTTTCTGATACTGAGTTGAGATAGGCTTCTGTGGCGCTCTGTCTTTTTGGAGAAGTCTACCGTCCCCTCAAGTGATGGCACTCCATTCATCTGTGGCCTTGGCTGCATGTGGTTGTGACATGTGCTCAGCAGCTGCCCACCCTCTGCATGGCTCCTCCACACCCACCCCTCCTCAGGTGCAGGGAGACCTCATAGGGAGCCCTGGGTGGCGGGGCACTGGGTAGCTTCTAGCTCTGACTGGAACTCACTCTGTTACTCTCCCTGGCCTCAGGTTAAGACCCACTTAATGAGAACTTGAGGGCTTTAGTCTTCACTCCTTCTGAGACCCATCCTTGCTTTTAGCTACCCCCCAGCCCAGCTCATCTGCCACCATCCTAGCCACTGACCATGCCCTGGGTGCCCACCTGTACATGGTGGAGACCTGGCTTTGGACCTCTAGGGTAAGGAAGGCTGCCACTTCCCACCCTGTGCAGACCAGCCTCCATCATGGCTGCCCCACTTCCCAGGGGCTCTTAAGTATAGTGGCTTATTGAGCCCCTCTCTCGGGGTGTAGGCCTGGGCATGTGCAGCCTTGTCATAGCTCTGCCCCAGTTTGCTAGTCCAGTCCCTGAGTTCTTCTTGCTACCCTGGGCCACTGTTTGAGCTGATGGTCAAGGTGGATTCCACCCTCCCCCTCCTGGAATCTTTTGGACCACCTGTCATCCTTCCTTTGGGATCCTGGGTTCGTTGCCTGTTCTGTCTTGCTATGTGGTCCTAGGCTGGTCAATGCCCCTCTCTGGGTTAGCAGGAGCAGAGGCATGCCAGTGTGTGCCTGGCCACAGTGGGCAGGTGTGTATATCTGCATGGGGCATCAGCGTCACTTTTTGTGGGTACACTGGGGAGGGGTGGGACCCTAGGGATGGGTGGTCCCTCTCCCCTGGGAGCCATCCATCAACTTCAGGCCTCTTTTCAGATCATCAGTCATGACACTCGGCGCTTCCGCTTTGCCTTACCATCACCCCAGCACATCCTGGGCCTCCCTGTTGGTGAGTTATGACCCAGCCCAGCCCACATTGAGCCTAGCAGGCAACTGGGCCACAGGTCAGAGAATGGAAGCTTTGCATTTCCACTAGGGAGAGTGGGGAAGTGGCAGGGTGAGTCTGTCAGATGAGAGTGGAAAGGACCCCAGGGTCCCTAGTAGTGGCAGGAGTGAAGATGTGTTGGCAGGAAGCTGGGCCATGATGGGAATCCCTGGGGGCAGGAGGGAGGTAGCAGGAGGCTAAGACCAGGCCAAGCTTTGAGTGCTGGGGGGATGCGAGGAGTAGATGGACAAGACCCAGGGGCTGCCTGCAGGGATGCTGCCTGCCCCAGAATGACCCTGTTCTGTCCTGCAGGCCAGCATATCTACCTCTCGGCTCGGATTGATGGAAACCTGGTTATTCGGCCCTACACACCCGTCTCCAGCGATGATGACAAGGGCTTTGTGGACCTGGTCATCAAGGTGAAGTCTCCTGACCATGACTACGAAAGGGTGGGGTGGGTGAGGCCATGGCAACAGGCCAGGTCTCCAAGGGGGACCCCCCCCCCACAACCAGGTCTCTACAGGCTCATTGCTTCCTTGTGCCTGGTTTCTGAGTAAATAGCAAATCATAGTTTATTAGCAAAAGCCAAATGAGGCCAAGCGCAGTGGCTCACTCTTATAATCCCAGCACTTTGGGAGGCTGAGGCAAGAGGATTGCTTGAGGCCAGGAGTTTGAGACCAGCCTCGGCAAAATAGTGAGACTTCATCTGTACAAAAAAATTAAAAAATGAGCCAGGCATGGTGGCACGTGCCTGTAGTCCCAGCTACTCAGGAGGCTGAGGGGGAAGAATTGCCTGAGCCCAGGAGGTTGAGACTGCAGTGAGCCATGATCATACTCCTACACTCAAGCCTGAGGGACAGAGTAAGACCCCGACTCAAAAAAAAAAAAAAGCTAAATGAGAGGGTGTTGGCAGAGGCCAGGGGCTGGGGTTCAGGCTGAGTGTCTTCAAACAAGAACAGGCATCTGCACAAGAGAAGCCAGGAATGCTGACTGGCTTGTGCAGTTGCTCATGCTCCTGGGGGTGACAGCAGAGTCCATTCCCTGCCCTGACGGTGAACTATCCTGGGGAGCTGGTGCCAAGCAAGTGGAGCAGGGTGGCCACTCCACCGTGTTCTGCGGCAGGGCCTCTGTGACCCACAAGTCTGCTAGGAAGGTGTGGGCGGGGCCAGTCAGGTGTTGTCTTGGGAGCCAGGGTGAAGGGCTTTCTGGGGTCCGTCAGGCTGGAAGTGGCTGCATGCAGACTGGAGATGTGGAGCTTCTGGCAGGGAGCTTAAAAAGCATCATGTTGATGTGAGAGCGGGACACAGAGTGACAACCAGAGCATGGCACAGTTTTATGAACATTAGAAACACAAGCTCCTACAGCCATCCAGGTTCTCTGGGAACACGACCAATAGGTGAGAACCTGCTTGAGCCGGTGGGTGTGGGGTGTCAGAGACCCTCCCCAGTCAAGACCCAAACCCCCATGGCCTCCCCGGCCCTGCGCCCCCAGGAATTCCCAGAACCCCCTCAAAAGGCCACAGCTGAGGCCCTGAATCTTGCAGGTCCTGGGCAGGGCTTTGGAGGTCCCAGTAAGGTTTGGGGTTTTGTCCAGAAGCAAAGGAAGGTTGTGGGGGCTCAAGCATCTGTCCATATTGAAATCACTCGAGCAGATGTGGAGAAGCTATTAGGGGGATTCAAGGTTGGGACAAGATGCTCGCAGGTGACCAGGCCCTCCTGGCTTGGAGATCTCGCTGTCTCCACTCAGCCCCGGATAAAGGTCAGAGTCCTGGCCTAGTACCTGGGCCCGGGAAAGCAGTCTGTCTGCCTCTTCCTGGTCCTCCACCACCACCCCCGCCCCTTAGAATCCCCCACGCTGTAGCCACAACAGGTGGGTCCCCCTCCCAGGGCCTTTGCACACACTGTGCCTCCTCCGGCTACCTTTCCCACTTCTCTGCCCATCGGACATCTGCCTACCTTCAAGGCCCGGTGTAGGTGCCCCCTGAAGCCTTCCCAGCCCTGGGCACGGTGAGCTGCTCTTTCTCTTCTCTCGTCTCATTGGACATGGGTTAGATTGTAGCACTTCCCTTTTCTAAGGCAGTCATCCCGAGGGTGCAGGGAAGGAAGTAGTTCCAAAAGTGAGTTGGGGTTTTTTTTTTTTTTTCTGAGTCAGAGTCTTATTCTGTCATCCAAGCTGGAGTGCAGTGGCACGCTCACAGCCACCACAGCCTTAACCTGCTGGGCTCAAGCAATCCTTCTGCCTCAGCCTTCCCAGTAACTGGAACTACAGACACATGCCACCTCGCCCAGCTAACTTTTTTTATTTATTGTAGAGATGAGGTCTCACCAAGTTGCCCAGGCTGGTCTTTAACCCGTGGGCTCAGGCAGTACTCTCACCTCGGCCTCCCAAAGTGCTGGGATTATAGGTGTGAGCTACCACGCCCAGCCATAAGTGAGTTGTTATGATGCACGAAATAGAAAGACCAGGCATCCACCAGCAGATCGTAGCTGAGCTGACTCCCCAGACTTCACTTCACTGTGCTGACATGTGTATTTCCCAAGGGAGGGGCCCAGAGACAGTTCTGGTGAAATGTGGGCTCATTGTGCCCTCAAGTTGGTTCGCCTTGTGTACCAGGCTGATGCTTTGCTTTCCATGGTCAAATGGAGGCAGACTCTTGGGAGGACGGGGTGGGGATGGGTGAGTTTTGATGGGTGGGTAGATGGGGCTCCACGGGAGGAGGCCACACTTCTGGTTCAGAGGAACCCAGAAGAGGCACTTGCTTCCTACTGTGGGCAAGAGCTCACCCCAGAGACCTGGGACTGGGGACTGAGAGCTGCATGCATGTCTTGCAGGTTTACTTCAAGGACACCCATCCCAAGTTTCCCGCTGGAGGGAAGATGTCTCAGTACCTGGAAAGCATGCAGATTGGAGACACCATTGAGTTCCGGGGCCCCAATGGGCTGCTGGTCTACCAGGGCAAAGGTGACTTGAGTCGACACTCCCTGGTTACCTAGAGCTTGGGGAGCTCTATCTGGATGGGTGACCCATTGGGCCAGCAGTTTCCTCTCTGATCTCAGTCTCCCTGGCTGTAGAAGAATAAGTTGGCTTCTGGGGACCACATCCAGCTTGCTGGGTGCTTTTGTTGGACTGATTCGGTGACTGTAAATAAGCAGACGGGTCAGATTAGACCGCCTCTGCCCACCAGCCCCCAACTGCTCCCCACGTCACCTGTGTCCTTGCTGGCATTTGACTTGGGACCAGGATCCCCACCTTCCCACCTCCTCACTCACCCTAGTGGCTGGGCTTGCACGGCGGCTGCCCTCACCTCAGAGCTGCAAAGCAGGGCCAGGTTCCCCAGTTTGTCTGACCCCCAAGTATGGCACAGCTGAGAACTGGGTCTCACACCTTCTTCCTTCTCCCCAGGGAAGTTCGCCATCCGTCCAGACAAAAAGTCCAACCCCGTCTTCAAGACAGTGAAGTCTGTCGGCATGATCGCAGGAGGGACAGGTACGCGGTATCCCAAGCCCCTCACTGAGTCACCAGGTGGCAGATGTTGGGCTCAAGGCATGGGATGAGCCACATGCTGCGAGTGACTGAGCTGTCCGAGGTCAGGGGCTCAGGCCCAGTTGTCCTGGTACCTTTCCTGTGTGGGCACCTGGTGCCATGCCTGTGAGCAGGTGCTCATTCAGTGTGTGGGGGCCCGGCTGTCTTGCAGGCATCACCCCGATGCTGCAGGTGATCCGAGCCATCATGAAAGACCCAGACGACCACACCGTTTGCCACCTGCTCTTTGCCAACCAGGTCAGTGGGCATTTTCCATGCTGTGCAAACCTGATTACCCCTGGGAGGGACATGGGACCTGGCCAGGTACTGTTGAAGAGTCCTCACAGCTCTTTTGAGACGCCCTAAATGACCGGAATGTGCCCTGAATAGTCTGTATACTGGGGTCTTTGCAGCAGCAGGTGGGGTTTGGGGTTTGCAGAGCCCGAGTGTCTGGCTGAGTGACTGCTTCTTGGGAGGCTCCCTGAACACCCCCTCCAGGGGCTTCCTCCAAACCCCAGAGCTCCGTTTACCACGAGCAGAACTGGGAACTCACCAATGGGGCAGTAAGAATGCTGGTCTGGGCTTGGACCACCGGGAGGCAGAGGGGCCCATTGCCTGTTTTACAAACGAGCAGACATCTGCGAGGACTGTGAGGTTGAGGGTATTGGGCAGGGTTTGAACGCTGGTCTCTCTGGCTTTTGATTCATGCCCTCATCCCAAGCCCCTGCCTGTGTGCCTGACTTGCTGAGGCCTCAGATGAGCCTGGACCTCACTCCCTCATCTATAGAATGAGTTACTGAAGCAAGGTTGTTGCAAGGCCTTTCCAGGTTGTTCTGTGACTGAATATGTGGATTTTGTAATCCATCCCTTTTGTGGGAGGCCAAGATAAGACCATTCTTCTCCCTGTCCCGACAGTAGGGGACCATGCCCAGACCCTCAAGCCTCTCATAGGGGTCATGTCTGCTTATCCTCAGGGTCTGTCTGACCCAACCTCTGCACTGCCCATCTGTGAGGAAACCAAGCCCAGAGGGTGAGGGAGGGGCTGGCTTGAGGTCCTTGGACATGGGTCCTTGACCTTGGCCCCCAGCTACAGAAAACTGCCCCAAGGCAAACCAGGGTAGCCTTGACTAGGCCCAAGGGTCAGGAGAAAGGAAATTTCAAGCTGGCAGATGTGGAGAGAGGGAGGGCAACAGATGGTGGTGCTGAGTCAGAGTCTGGAGGCCATCAGACCTTCTCTCACCTATAGGGGCATCTTTGTACTTGTTAGCCTGTTAGCCAGGGTCATAGGTCACCCCATTTTGTAGCTCAGGATATAGACTCAGAGAGTGGCTTGACTGTAGATGTCTCATAGGAGTGTTGAAACCAGGATTCAAACCAGGGCATATTTTTATTTTATTTTATTTTAGAGTTGGAGTCTCTGTCACTCAGACTGAAGTGCAGTGGCCGCTCCCGGCCACTGCAGCCTCGCCTGCTGGGCTCTAGCGATCCTTCCACCTCAGCCTTCCGAGTAGCTGGAACTACAGGTGTGCGCTACCATGCCCGGCTAATTTTTTAATTTATTGTAGAGATGAGGTCTCGCCAGTTTGCCCAGGTGGGTCTCGAACCTGCGGGCTCAGGCAATCTGCTCACCTCGGCCTCCCAAAGCGCTGGGATTACAGGTTGAGCCATCGAGCCCGGCCATATTTTTATTTTAAAAGATAGTGTTTTATATTCTCAACATGGATAAAGCAGAGAAAAAGAAAAAAAAGATTATGTTTTAGAAGACGTCATTTTGTTTTACATTTTTGCAAACTTTGTAATGTCTGGCTTCATAGAAACAGCTGGATTCCTGTATCTGTTTCTGCACTCAGTTTTTGTGATATGGCAAGTCATGCAGCCTCTGAAGAGTTCCATAGTATTCTCAGGAGACAGCAAGAGTGAAAGATATAAGTCACATCTTAGTATTATATGAAAATTGTTTGACCTCATGATTCCTCCTAAGGGTCTCAGGCCATACTCTTAAGACCCACTCCAGCTGTGTCATTGCCCCAACTTCCTTCCGTCCTCGGTGACCTCAGTGCCTGGCTTGGAGCAGCCCCTGAGGCCTCACCCCTCTGTTTCTTCATCTGTTCCATGGGTAGCACTGGTAACCACTGCACAGGATGGCTTTGAGGACTGAAATATAAATGCACCTTGGCTTGGATAGGAAGACTTCACATTTCAGAGATGTGAGTTCTTCCTGAATTGACTAGGAATGAACACTGGGGAGGGAGCAAGGTGGGGTTCTGCCATCTGGAAGTGGGGAAAGCTCAGGGCTTGGCCTAGAGGTGGCAACAAGGGAGACTTAAATGAACAGTAAGACATGTCTTGTTCTTGAACCAGGAGGCCTGATAGTCTCAAGGTGTTAGCTCCTTCTAAAGTAACACTCAGATTCCCAGTGGGGATTTTTTTCCCCCTTAATATGAACAAATGATGCAAAACACTTTGGAAGACAAAGTATTAATGCACAACTGAGAAAGTTTTGAGGAAGAAGAATTATATGGAAGTAGTTAACCCACTAGATGTTAAAATACACAAAAGTGTCATTGATGAAAGCAGCGTGGTTTTTGAGCCACACGTGAAATCTGGACTTGCTGCATTTTGGGGGAACACAGTGCAACACCTGAATTGCACCAGAACATGCTACAGCATGTGGCCATTTACACTGAAATTAATTAAGATTAAATATATTCTGCCTGCCTGGCCTGCTGAGGCCTCAGATGAGCCTGGACCTCACCCCCTCATCTATAGAATGAGTTGCTGAAGCAAGGTTGTTGCAAGGTCTTTCCAGGTTATTCTACGACTTTCCCAGTTTCACCAGCCACATTTTGGGGACTTCATAGCCACATGTAGCTAATGATTACTATACTAGACAGCACAGATATAGAACATTCAGGCTGGGTACTGTAGCTCACGCTTATAATCCCAGTACTTTGGGAGATCGAGGTGAGAGGATTGCCTGATCCCACAGGTTTGAGACCTGCCTGGGCAACTTGGTGAGACCTCATCTTTATTTATAATAAATAAAAAATAATTAGCCGGGCATGGTGGCACATGCCTGTGGTTCCAGCTACTTGGAAGGCTGAGGAGGAAGGACTGCCTGAGCCCAGCAGGTCGAGGCTGTGATGGCCATGAGCATGCCATTGCACTCCAACCTGGGCGACAGAGTGAGACTCCAACTCAAAAAAAAAAATTAAAAGCTTCTCTGGAAGAAAAAAACACACTATAAATACAGTAGAGAGATAAATAACTAGGAAAAAATGTATAATTTATCACCAACCAAAAATTATATTGCCATTGCCTTGCTAGACTCTGGTGTAGCCTTGTGCTCTTTGAGCTATGGCTGTTGCCATGCTTCCTAGCTTTGGTCCTCTTCCCCACCTTGGTGAGGTAAATCTTTTTTTTTTGAGTTGGAGTCTCACTCTGTCGCCCAGGCTGGAGTGCAATGGCATGCTCATGGCCATCACAGCCTCGACCTGCTGGGC